TGACGGACGAAGAGTTAGACAAATGCGTGAAACCGACCATTGATTACATTTTGTCACTTCGTATGCCTTCAGGCAACTATCCCTCGAGTTTATCCAATCCGTACGATCGTTTGGTCCATTGGTGTCACGGATCTGCCGGTGCCGTCAATTTGTTTGCGTTGGCCTATGAGGTGTTCAAAGAGGAACGGTATCTGATGGCAGCCAAAGACGGTGGTGAACACGTTTGGGAGAAAGGACTCCTTGTTAAAGGTTTGGCGATATATTGAGAATCGATTGAAATATTGTTTAAAAAACTGATTGTTTTGATCTGTAATTTGATGATTAGGTTATGGTTTATGTCACGGGACAGCAGGAAATGGTTACGCCTTCTTAAGACTGTATCAGTTGACTGGAGAGGAGAAGTATGTGTTCAGAGCCGTGAAGTTCGGGCAGTGGTGTTGTGCTTATGGAGAGCACGGCTGCCTTAAACCCGATCACCCCTTATCTATGTTTGAAGGACTCGCAGGAACTCTGTATTATTTGACGGATTTGTTGCTACCAAAGAACAGTCGATTCCCTGGATATCAGATCTCATAAAAACTTATTGTCTATTCATTTCGTTTTGCAATATATTGTATTATTAGTCAACATTCAATTTGAATGCAATTCCAATGATTCCCATATTATAATTACTGATTATTTAATTGAAATTGAATATGATTTACATGTGTTATGATTTCTCAGATACTGTATATTGTTTTGTTGTTTGTATTTAATTACTGTATATTTGATTATCCAAAAGAATATAACAAAATCACAAGTATTTTTCATTAAAAAAATTGTTTAATAAAAATCAAAGTCAATCATAAGTTTAAATATTCGTTAAAAATATAAATAAATTAAAATATTGAATACAAGGATGAGAATTAAGGGGAACATGAGGTATAGGAATGGTATAATTGCTTGCATTGTTTATACTTCTTATAAGTAAAGGTTAAATAACTTAACAAATAATAAAAGTTAATAAAAAATATAAATATCACAAAATGAAAGACAACTCCGCGTGAGTGCAAATCGATTGAATCTGTGGTCAAAGTCTGTTGTGAAACAGGACTCAAACCTTTGGAACGGAATCATTAGATTTGCGAGAATTGATTGCATTGAAAGCATTGCATTGAAAGCATTGCATTGAAAGCATTGCATTGATCTCATAAACAGATGAGACAATTGCATCACATCTTATCCATTGAATGATCAAAGAGTTGCCTTTTTGGCCAAAACAGCGAGACTTGTTTTGCTTGCATTGGATTGTCGTTCACTATTGAACTGAGCGCTCAATTTCTTGAGCTGTTCGAAGGTGACAAACATACAGACATTCCAAGAGCCCATCCGCATGAATGATGGCGTGAATCTATACATTGAATAGATGGCTCAGTATACAAGTTTATCAAATTATATATTCAGATCAAACTAACCCTTTATAAAAGCCAAGGAAGCCTCCCTGTCTGGCAACTGTCTGAGCGCAATGTAAAACACTTTTGTATTGTCCCGTGGAGTTCATAAATCTGGTTTTCACCACATCTATAGGGCTCGACACCAAAGTGGCACAAAAACCAGCTATAATTTAGTAAATCAAGACATGCCGTTAGTAAAATTGTTTAACAAAATGAAAATATTTCGCAAATACCTGAAAAGGCGGCACTAAAATGACA